TTCATAAAAACACATTTCACTTCTTTTCACACCCTGAGGGTAAAATTCTAAAATGGATGCTTCAAAGAAAGTATCTTCCCATATTTATAGGACTAGTGGTTGAGATTAGGCATTAATACATGAATCAATCACGACATCTGCTTTTATCTACAATATTTAGAAGATGATTTAGGATAAAATCCAGAAATCGCTGTGTTCACTCCGAAGAGGTGAGGCGATGATTCTAGCCGAGCCGTTGTCGAATTCAATGAAAACACATCGCTGTAACGACTATTATGAATTTATTAATCTTTTAGCAAGAAATCTACGCTTTTTAACGGTCGCAGCTCGGTCAAACAATACAGTCTGTCGTTGTGACTCAGAAAAACGAAGTGAAGCCCGATTGGCTTGGGATGCCGATCTTATTCTCCAAAACGCTGCCGCCACCGCCGCACCAATCAGATGGCCTGTTGGCAAAAACGATGCTACAGCCGTGCCAATGCAATCGCTTTACAATTAACAAACGCGGCTAGATCGCGCCAACGCGATCGCTCTACAATTAACAAACGCGGCTAAGTCGCGCCAACGCGATCGCTCTACAATAAACCAACAAAAGCGCAAAAACCCGTGGCCACCTGTGTGCGCTTCTTCCCAAAAGCTCCTCGGAGCGGAGAATCTGCGAACAGGTACTCAGCCCGAGCTCGACTCTCGCGGACTTGGTCCGTTCACTCTAAACAGTGCTGTCCGCAGCCATCAATCTCCAATCACGCTTCGAACCCGAGCCCGAATCGCTTTCCTCCAAGGAAAGACAATGAATCGGCTGCAAACAACTTGGACTGGTCGAGCCCTAGTCGACACACAATGTCCTTCCTGTTCACGTGCGTCCAAGCACTTCATGAGTTCGCTACGCCGTTCAGTTTTACAATAATTTATCGTTAGCAAATGTCGCGTTCGTTGCTTTCGCATTCACCCAGGCAAAGCCTGTGGCGCAGGAAAAACTCAACGTATTGTCTCTCACTGTTCGAGCACACTCAACGATTCCAAAATTTCAGGAAGCTACTTAAATCTGAGCCGCGAGCGCGACAGGCGAGCCACTACCCTAGAGTGGCCACCCTTCCCAGGTGACGCGCTCAGCGGCAACAACACCCGAGGAACACGATTAGTCCCTATCTCCACGAAGGGCCCCTCGCCTTTAACGGTCGTATTCGACCGAGAAGGGATAACAACGGAACCAGAGCAACCTCTCCTTGCGCGGTCGCCCCGTGTCCGCCAGCCAACCCAGCGACCCATCGCTGGGGTCAAGCGCCCACCTGCCGAAGTCTGCCGTCTCCGACTCGTGCCTTACAAAAGCGTCAGGAACACGCTGTTTTGTTCATGATATGCGTAATTTTCATGTGTATACATAAACCACGCTAATTCATGAAACTTTTAGAAATATTGAAAATTTTGTGAACATGCATTTTACCTCGTTTCATCCCCTTAGGAAATAATTGGATAAAATCCTGAAATTATTTTCAGAATTTAGTCAATGAATGGATAATCTTTGTAAACAAAAACCAGCTCTATAACTCATCAAACTTTAAAGATATTGTGACATCCGTAAAAATATTTAACCCCGTTTTATCTCGTAAGGATTCATTGAGGCTACATTTCTTCTTAAGATCTGTCTACACTGACGACACGACAACGATACGACAACGACAGCCTGGGTTTTTTGAGGTGGTGGGGCGGCCGAGCCAGTACCGTAGCCTTTACAACTGAAAGTATAGGGAAAAGCGTGTAAAAGCAGTTGTAAAGGCTACGGTACTGGCTCGACCGCCCCATCACCTCAAAAAACCCAAGCTGTCGTTGTCGTGTTGTCACTGTAGCTAGACCTTTACAATTAATGCTCTCGTACGGCATGAAAGTTATACTATTTTAAGAGATATGTACATGCGACCTTAGGACGTGTACATGTGTAAAGTACATATGAGTGTGTGCGTGCGTATGCGAGCCGTAAGAAGAAAAGCGTTCCGAACAAGGCACGTAAAGACATTTTGTTCCGTTAAAACGGTTAAAATTAGAACGATGAAGTGTGGCCCTATTTATCGTTAAAAACATTAAATTTATTCTTGTTTTGTTACACGCCTTTGTGTTATTTTTTATAACTCCTCACAGTATATATAATATATACACCAGATGTGAAAATTCTATGTACTTTTAGCTGCAGTGTTGATAAGTGAGTGAATGTATAGTTGAGGGAATAATATGACAATTGTTGCTCTATAGCCGGATTTTTGTCCCAGGCGCCTTTAACAAAAGGGATCGAAATGGCACATTTTAGTCAATTATACTTGGAATTCGAAATACCAAAACTGGTTCCACAAAATATTCGGATAGACATTGGAGCATTAAAAATAGTTCATATGTGCTATTTATAAACCAAATAATTCAAATTTACTGTTTGTAGACCGGAAATGTTGACATTTTGAACTCTAAATACCCTAGAAAAGCTGAAAAATACATCGGATATACAGCGTGCTACTGCGATCTCCTTTGTTAAAGGTGTGAAAGACAGTAACTCCGCTATTTTACAAGAGTTCCTGTATCTTTCCATCATCTATACTGAACATATTTTATGTGTAGATAGAGATAAATTATTTTGTACTTATTACACTTTCCGATTTGCTTATTGCATTTGTTTATAATATAAGTAGTATTCTACATTCTTTGCTGTTCATACATGGGAAATCCTTAACAATTCCTTTACTAGAGGCTTTAAAACTCTGTTCTAAATTTCAGTTCACCACTATTTCTCACATTAAATTCTTCTCTCTATAATATTAAGTACTACTGATCATTATCTATATGACTTATCATTTACATATCTGAACTTACATCGAACATAAGGTATCAGTTTAATCCATTTAATCACCAGTTTCCGATAACTAGGAGGGAATTCTCACAAAAGTAATAATTTTGAAATTGGAAACGCGTCGAAAATCACGTATCGAATTGCAGAATCGATGATCCATCGATACCGAATCGAGCGCAACATTTTTCAGGCCACGATCCATTTAATTAACGTTTACGCAACTATTGTATACGATCGTTTATGTTCACGCTTCTTGACACGATATGTGTACGCCCCGTAATAATTTGTTCAACGGCGAATTAATTACCCATTATAAGCGGAACATCAAATTGCTTTCATTAATTAATTCATTACAATGGGCTCGAACATACATGTAAGTATTTATGCATACTATGGCTAATCTCGATTTGAGTAATGCCTGGCAAACTTGGAAGAATAATATGGTGTAAAAAATTATATCGTAAAAAGAATAAGCGTGCATTGAAAATGACCTATTGACGTTTAATAATCTTTAAATAAAGTCAGATTTACTAATAATGGAACATTGACACTACTTTTTATGAGAATTGTTATGTTTGACATAGGGTTTCTTTGATACTTTTTGTCTTAAATATATAGAATATAATAAAATTTAAAAAAAATTGACGTTGAGATTAAAAACAAATTTGTGGCAACATCTTTTTATAGCTCTTCGTCGATTCGAAAATATGAAATACATGTATAATCGCTAAGACCAGACATATACATATATACATCCTGTTTTATATTATAATAAATCTGAACCGATCTTTTTAGATTGAAATGAACACAGGCAGGAAAAGGTTTGGGAAATGAAACGAGAGGAGGAGTGTTGAAAAGGGAGGAAGAGAGAGAGAAGTGATACGTCGTTGAACTTTAATCGTCCAACACGATGACACAGCTGCGGATGGAGGACACTTATAGATAAGGAAACATTGAGCACAATATTCTACTTACGAGATGTCCGTTCAACTTCCACGTAATGACGGAGGCGGGCTTCGAGTTGCCGGTGGTGCAGTTCACCCGAAGCAGCTCACCCACCGAGATCCACTCCTTCGCGATCTCGATCATTGGGCCCGTTTTTGGTGCATCTAAGACAAAACAATTATCAAATCAAGGGATGCGGCAGCGTCCCGAGGGCAAGTTTGAGCCGGATGCCCGTCAGGATACCGTGTATCATTCTTATATAGATGTAAATTCGACATTTTTAATTTCTTTCGTGAATATTAATTGTTCTTAATGTCATAGAATATAATGTGTAACAAGTCTTAGAACATAAGGTATCAGTTTAATCCATTTAATCACCAGTTTCCGATAACTAGGAGGGAATTCTCACAAAAGTAATAATTTTGAAATTGGAAACGCGTCGAAAATCACGTATCGAATTGCAGAATCGATGATCCATCGATACCGAATCGAGCGCAACATTTTTCAGGCCACGATCCATTTAATTAACGTTTACGCAACTATTGTATACGATCGTTTATGTTCACGCTTCTTGACACGATATGTGTACGCCCCGTAATAATTTGTTCAACGGCGAATTAATTACCCATTATAAGCGGAACATCAAATTGCTTTCATTAATTAATTCATTACAATGGGCTCGAACATACATGTAAGTATTTATGCATACTATGGCTAATCTCGATTTGAGTAATGCCTGGCAAACTTGGAAGAATAATATGGTGTAAAAAATTATATCGTAAAAAGAATAAGCGTGCATTGAAAATGACCTATTGACGTTTAATAATCTTTAAATAAAGTCAGATTTACTAATAATGGAACATTGACACTACTTTTTATGAGAATTGTTATGTTTGACATAGGGTTTCTTTGATACTTTTTGTCTTAAATATATAGAATATAATAAAATTTAAAAAAAATTGACGTTGAGATTAAAAACAAATTTGTGGCAACATCTTTTTATAGCTCTTCGTCGATTCGAAAATATGAAATACATGTATAATCGCTAAGACCAGACATATACATATATACATCCTGTTTTATATTATAATAAATCTGAACCGATCTTTTTAGATTGAAATGAACACAGGCAGGAAAAGGTTTGGGAAATGAAACGAGAGGAGGAGTGTTGAAAAGGGAGGAAGAGAGAGAGAAGTGATACGTCGTTGAACTTTAATCGTCCAACACGATGACACAGCTGCGGATGGAGGACACTTATAGATAAGGAAACATTGAGCACAATATTCTACTTACGAGATGTCCGTTCAACTTCCACGTAATGACGGAGGCGGGCTTCGAGTTGCCGGTGGTGCAGTTCACCCGAAGCAGCTCACCCACCGAGATCCACTCCTTCGCGATCTCGATCATTGGGCCCGTTTTTGGTGCATCTAAGACAAAACAATTATCAAATCAAGGGATGCGGCAGCGTCCCGAGGGCAAGTTTGAGCCGGATGCCCGTCAGGATACCGTGTATCATTCTTATATAGATGTAAATTCGACATTTTTAATTTCTTTCGTGAATATTAATTGTTCTTAATGTCATAGAATATAATGTGTAACAAGTCTTATTTAAAAAGATGTTCTTAATGCAGAGATGTCATTGATAAATCACTAGATTCGCCGATTTCAACATATTTTTCGTCTTCCTAGCTAAAGAAATGAGAGTGGCCAACTTACAAAGTTTATTATATTTTTTATGAACGATTGAAAGTGGTCAACTTCATATTCATTAAGGTTATAATATAACGGTGTATGCGACGTGCGATTATAAATACGCATATCAACTAAATCGAAGTTATTATAGTATATAAATAAATATAAATCAAATCGAATATTTATATTATGAATTATATACATTGTTAAGAGAATATGTATATATTTACATTATGAAGAGAAAAGAATAAGCATTAAAACAAGTTATAATACAACAAATTTTTATCATTTATTAATTAACATAAATATCTTGCACATTTCTATTTACTGTTTTCAATTTTACAACAAAAATATTTGATTTACGTTGTTTTGATTATACAATCTCTGCAAAAACTTATGTCTTCTAAATATTAGTCTAATTATGTAAGTTTTACTGATTATTAAGTAATCTGTGTATTTTTGAAATCTCTTTTCGATCCTTTAAATCAGGTAGGGTGGCAATATAATGAAAACAGGAATACAAAGCTTGCTTTAATTATTACTTAATTAATGAAATTCATATATATAAAATAAAATATATAAAAGAAATAAAAATACTAAGGATACATATGTATGCAAGATAAGAAAATAATAAAATAATATATAAGAATATATAATAGAATATAAAATAAAATATATGAAAGAAATAAAAATACTAAAAATACATAATAGAATAATAATATAGTAAGAATAAATAATAGATAATAGAATAATAAAATTGTTATTTAATATACAGAAGTATTACTATCTGGTTAACTTAATATGTTGGCCCCATATACATTCGACTATTCTCAAGTGTTCTTTATTAATTAAATTTAGATAAACATCAGGAAATGCCATTCCTAGTTTCTATCGTTGTCGAGATAAACGAGGTAGTTTTCCTTTAATATGATTCTATTAAAATTCGGAAGTCAAGTGAATGTACGTATAAGAATTTCCAACATCTTAACATAGATTACTACAGTTTATGCAGTTATTTTATACAAATTAAAATAGTTATGTGTAGGAAACAAAATATTTTATATTCTTTACGTTTACATTGTAAGAATCATTTGAATCAAGCTTCCTAACTAATGCGAAGTTACAACGTTTTGACAATAGATCGTAAAAGCTATAAAAACATGAATTTCCATACTTTTGAATAAAAAGAATTTTTTATTTGATTCATTAATACATATGCTTTTTGCAGTTACTCGAAACTATGAGAACTGTCGAGTACTAGTTTTTTGTTTTAATCTGCAGAGTTCAAGCATACTTATTCTAATACTTTCTATTGATAAGTGCATGACTCCTATACAGGGTGTCCCAGAACTACTACTACGCCCGAAAATGAGGAGGAGCTGGGGTGATTTTAAACAACTTTTTCCTTTGCAAAAAAGTTGTCCGAGGCGTGGTTATTGAGTTATTAACAAAAATCCCCGACCAATCAGAGCGCGAGTATACATGGCGGGCAGGAGCGCGGCAACCGCCTCGTGCATTGCCGCGCCCGTATGTCGCGCTCACGACGAGAGTACAGGTTGGAACAAAAGTTTCATGCAAAAAGAAACTAAGAAATTGATGAAATATTACAGAAAACAAAGCAATTAGTCGTTAGTCACGTTCGCTCAATAAATGTAACATACTGAATGAAATAACTAACAACTTTATAAATTACACAGTATGTAAAGCATAAAAAATGGGAAAATAATGAGAGTTAGACTTACTTCTTGGTTGGTAGGTGCACCTGCTCGTAGAAGAACGTCAATGGGTCAATGGGTCGACCTTCGACACTCGAAGATAGGACACATGGCTCGCAGCAGCTGATGCTTGGAGTAAGTCAGTGACCTGCACCCGATGGTTTTTTCCTTATCATAACGATCATTTCCCACTGGCAAATTTTCACAAAACAAAAACTGTCACTTGTACACTTTCCAATTTTACTGCCACTTTTCATTTTACAAATCCACTGTCACATTGCACTTTGCAATTGAAAATTTGCATACACGTTTTCATTTTAATTCTTAACTCCAATCGGAATAGTGTTCGCGGAACAATTCCACTGCCGCTTTCGGATTATAACTCACTTACGCGTAATAACGAACATATTAAGATATTCCGTGTTCCTTAAGGCACGCACCGTTCTGTTTAGTAACGCACGGCGAAGCCAACTGATCGCTCGCTCGAAGATTTTCTTCCAGAAAATCTTTCCCCACTCGGGGGACAAGTACGTTAGGGAAAATGTGTTTGTATTTTTCGACTAAGCCCGGCCTTCGTTTCGTTGTCGTCCGTAAAAACTCTTCACGTGCATTTTCTGGAAGAAAATCTTCGAGCAATGGGAACTAAGAATTAAAATGAAAACATGTATGCAAATTTTCAATTGCAAAGTGCAATGTGACAGTGGATTTGTAAAATGAAAAGTGGCAGTGAATTTGGAAAGTGTAAAAGTGACAATTTTTGTTTTGTGAAAATTTGCCAGTGGGAAACTGACAATGATCGTGATGATAAGGAAAATATCGTCGGGTGCAGGTTACTGATTTACTCCAAGCCAGCGTTGAGATATTTTTTACCTCGGCCGGAAAGTGGGGACGACGCGACCATGGTGGGGACCAATAGTTGGTGGGGGTATGCAGTGATTTTCACGGTAGCGCTGCGGAGAGCTTCGCGAACGCGCATGAGCACGCATGAGGGGAATAGTAGTGGGGATCGAAATACGGGCGAAAAACAGGGGAAGCGAGCCTCGAGGTAAAAAATATCTCAACGCTGCTCCAAACATCAGCTGCTGCGAGCCATGTGTCCTATCTTCGAGTGCCGAAGGTCGACCCGTTGACCCATTGACGTTCTTCTACGAGCAGGTGCGCTGACCAACGAAGAAGTAAGTTCAACTCTGATTCTTTTCACATTTTTCATAATTTTACCTATCCTGTAATTTGTAAAGTTGTTTGTTATTTCATTCAGCATGTTACATTTGTTCAGTGAACATAAGTAACGACTAATCCCTTTCTTTCTTCCGATATTTAACCAATTTGTTAGTTCGTTTTTGCATGCAACATTTCTTTAATCCTATGCTCTCGTCACGTGCGCGACATACTGGCGCGGCAGCGCGCGAGGCGGTTATCGTGCTCCTGCCCGCCTTGTATACTCGCGCTCTGATTGGGCGTGGATTTTTGTGAATAACTCAATAACCACGCGTCGGACAACTTTTTTGCAAAGGAAAAAGTTGTTTAAAATCACCTCAGGAACCTCCCATTAAAATATGTACCACTAGTCCTGGGACACCCTGTATATATAGAACCGATGACAAGAGACAGTTCTCAGACTTACACTTACCAGATGCCAAGGCCGAATTGCCTTTTGTCGTACACATCCTGCTTGTCCCCCGAGTGAGGAAAGATTTCCTGGAAGAAAATCTTCGAGCGAGCGATCAGTTGGCTTCGCCTTGCGTTACTAAACAGAACGGTGCGTGCCTTAACGAACACGGAATATTTTAATATGTTCGTTATTTACGCGTAAGTGAGTTATAATCCGAGAGCGGCAGTGGAATTGTTCCGCGAACAGTATTCCGATCGGAGCTAAGAATTAAAATGAAAACGTGTATGCAAATTTTCAATTGCAAAGTGCAATGTGACAGTGGATTTGTAAAATGTAAAGTGGCAGTGAATTTGGAAAGTGTAAAAGTGACAATTTTTGTTTTGTGAAAATTTGCCAGTGGGAAACTGACAATGATCGTGATGATAAGGAAAATATCGTCGGGTGCAGGTTACTGATTTACTCCAAGCCAGCGTTGAGATATTTTTTACCTCGGCCGGAAAGTGGGGACGACGCGACCATGGTGGGGACCAATAGTTGGTGGGGGTATGCAGTGATTTTCACGGTAGCGCTGCGGAGAGCTTCGCGAACGCGCATGAGCACGCATGAGGGGAATAGTAGTGGGGATCGAAATACGGGCGAAAAACAGGGGAAGCGAGCCTCGAGGTAAAAAATATCTCAACGCTGCTCCAAACATCAGCTGCTGCGAGCCATGTGTCCTATCTTCGAGTGCCGAAGGTCGACCCGTTGACCCATTGACGTTCTTCTACGAGCAGGTGCGCTGACCAACGAAGAAGTAAGTTCAACTCTGATTCTTTTCACATTTTTCATAATTTTACCTATCCTGTAATTTGTAAAGTTGTTTGTTATTTCATTCAGCATGTTACATTTGTTCAGTGAACATAAGTAACGACTAATCCCTTTCTTTCTTCCGATATTTAACCAATTTGTTAGTTCGTTTTTGCATGCAACATTTCTTTAATCCTATGCTCTCGTCACGTGCGCGACATACTGGCGCGGCAGCGCGCGAGGCGGTTATCGTGCTCCTGCCCGCCTTGTATACTCGCGCTCTGATTGGGCGTGGATTTTTGTGAATAACTCAATAACCACGCGTCGGACAACTTTTTTGCAAAGGAAAAAGTTGTTTAAAATCACCTGAGCTCCTCCTCATTTTCGGGCGTAGTAGTAGTTCTGGGACACCCTGTATACTTTATTGTTATATCAGAATTTTTCAAGCTTGACACCGAAAGAAAGCAACGTATGTATTCATAATTTTTAAACGTCATAAGATTTATGTTGTACGTGGACGGTGATATAATTAGTAAACTCTTTCCTATCGATCCTGGGTGTAGCAAGCGTAAAAAGACGCAGGGCAAGGAATTTTCTTAAAGGTGTAACGGAAGGTTGATTCGCGTTCCTTTCTAAAGCTCTCAACGAATCCGAGAGGAAAATGGATCGCACGTAAGAATGCTGGTGCACGTGCACTGAATTACAGAACCAAGCCCCAGTTCAGTAGCAAAAGAGATTGCTTTTTCTGTAAAATGTTTTCAATTCTAGACTTCTCTGCTCACCTACTACCTCCATACTGGACCTCTCGATTAGCGTGTGATACGTTGGACTGCCTGCCGATACTTCGCATTTGTACATCCCCGTCAGCTTCCTCGATACATTTACCAAAGTCACGTCGAACGCATTCGATTTGGAAACCTGTCGAACAGATCGAGTCTTATCAATGATAAACTCTAAATATCTCCTCGAAATGTATTTCTGACCACTTATAAGTAGAAGAGTCTTGGACGCAATTTCTTGATTCTTGATTCTTGATTCTTGCCTTATTTTGGCTTCTAGAATTCCCCCTTAAAACTTTCCCTACCAATAGCTGAACAGTCTATATTGTTCTTTCTTAATTAGACATTCCTCGTTCCAAAAATTATTCCTGAAGATAATAATGCCTTTTCGGTTTGAAAATCAAGGTTCATTATCATTTTATACAATACCCTTTTGACTCGCATCATCTTTGTAATGAATCTTGCTGTAAAATGTTCTCACTGTCAGATTTAGACCATTCGTATGCAAAATGGAAAGATAATTATTATTCGCCAGCGTGTTTTATCTCGTTGCAGCTCAAGGCACTATATGAAGAGGTAAAAGTCGTAGTGCTGTAATTCACTTTTCAGATTCGAAAGGTTCTGGAAATGGTACAGCTGTCGTTACCATGCTTACATTAGGCTACTATCGCATTACTAAACGCATTACCATTCGTAGCATAAGTTACAATTTGGCGGAAAAGTGACTTACATCATTAGGGTTTTTTACCCCCTCATGTGGAAGTATAGGAAATATTCCTTCTCAGAGACCTGGAAAAAGAGTTTTTTGGAATGTCTGTGGGGTATGATATTAAAATGAATCCGGTTTTATAATATCAACTAGCACACTAAATAATATACAGGGTGTCCCAGGACTAGTGGTACATATTTTAATGGGAGGTTCCTGAGGTGATTTTAAACAACTTTTTCCTTTGCGAAAAAGTTGTCCGAGGCGTGGTTATTGAGTTATTAACAAAAATCCCCGACCAATCAGAGCGCGAGTATACATGGCGGGCAGGAGCGCGGCAACCGCCTCGTGCATTGCCGCGCCCGTATGTCGCGCTCACGACGAGAGTACAGGTTGGAACAAAAGTTTCATGCAGAAAGAAACTAAGAAATTGATGAAATATTACAGAAAACAAAGCAATTAGTCGTTAGTCACGTTCGCTCAATAAATGTAACATACTGAATGAAATAACTAACAACTTTATAAATTACACAGTATGTAAAGCATAAAAAATGGGAAAATAATGAGAGTTAGACTTACTTCTTGGTTGGTAGGTGCACCTGCTCGTAGAAGAACGTCAATGGGTCAATGGGTCGACCTTCGACACTCGAAGATAGGACACATGGCTCGCAGCAGCTGATGCTTGGAGTAAGTCAGTGACCTGCACCCGATGGTTTTTTCCTTATCATCACGATCATTGTCACTTTCCCACTGGCAAATTTTCACAAAACAAAAATTGTCACTTTTACACTTTCCAAATTCACTGCCACTTTACATTTTACAAATCCACTGTCACATTGCACTTTGCAATTGAAAATTTGCATACACGTTTTCATTTTAATTCTTAGCTCCGATCGGAATACTGTTCGCGGAACAATTCCACTGCCGCTCTCGGATTATAACTCACTTACGCGTAAATAACGAACATATTAAAATATTCCGTGTTCGTTAAGGCACGCACCGTTCTGTTTAGTAACGCAAGGCGAAGCCAACTGATCGCTCGCTCGAAGATTTTCTTCCAGGAAATCTTTCCTCACTCGGGGGACAAGCAGGATGTGTACGACAAAAGGCAATTCGGCCTTGGCATCTGGTAAGTGTAAGTCTGAGAACTGTCTCTTGTCATCGGTTCGAGTGTTCTGCACGTGAAGAATTTTTAAGGACGACAAAGAAACGAAGGTCGGGTTTAGTTGAAAAATACAAACACATTTTCTGTAACGAACTTGTCCCCCGAGTGGGGAAAGATTT